CTGGGGTGAGCCATGGGGGAGTGTCCAGTGCCTTAACCACCATGCCACCTGTGGGTCCCCTTAGACAGAATGGAGGAGTTGTACCTTTCTGAACAGAATTTGTGGGATATTTTAGGACTCAGTGGTCTTTGAGGATGTGGCGGTGGACTTTACCCAGGAGGAGTGGGCTCTGCTGGATCCTGCTCAGAGGAACCTCTACAGAGAAGTGATGCTGGAAAACTTCCAGAACTTGGTCTCTCTAGGTAAGAATGGTGACATTCTTTCATGCAGTTGTTCAGAAAACAATTTTATCTTACTAATTGACCTAGTTCTAGGATTTGGGCTGAGGAATGAAAATATATTGGTAAATAAACACACATAGTTGGGCTGACCCCACTGCCTAATGGCTAAGGGAAGCCACATCCTACATGGCCAACCGCAGTTTGAGTCCCAGCCCCAGTGGTTTGAAAAACACGCTGGGTGTGTATGTGCCCCAAATCCTAACTGGATGGAAAAAGGGAGAAGAGATTATGATGTGACTACCGTTTTTCATGGGTGCTCTGTCCCTGTGCCTCTCTCTTTTGTCTCTCTGGTGAGTGCACATACCCTTTGGTCAGGAAAAAGAAAATCTATGGCACATTTTTAATTTTTTTTTGAGAAATTTTTGCTGTAGGGTGCATGCGATTGTGAGAGACAGAGAGACAGAAAGCAAGAAATCACCCCCCCCGGGGGGGGGGATGGCCACGTCACAATCCCTTCTCCTCCATTCTCCTCTTGGGATCTTGGGTATGCACACACATGCCCCCGGCGTGAGTTTAAACCACTGGGTCCGGGACTCAAACCATGGTTGGCTACATGGGAGTTCAGCGACACAGCCATTACACTAACTGCTGGTCCCTGGCACATTGTTTTAAACAAGGGTGTTTGTTTGAACTTTTAGTTCTTTATATGTTTTAGATAACAATCCTTTATTAGATATGTCTTTTGCTAATATTTTGTCTAAGCATTGGCTTGTCTTTTCATTCTCTTGCAGAGTAGAAAAGTTTAATTTTTTAAAAAAATAATTTTTATTTTATTTATTCATTTATTTTTTAATTTGATCAGAGAGAGGAAGTGAGAAGACAAGCCACCAGATTCAGGACTTGAACCCTGGTCGGCCATGTGGGAGTGTACAGCGCCTTAACCACCACGCCACCTGCTGGTCCTGAAAAGTTTAATTTTAATAAAGTCCAGCTTACTAATTATTTGTTTCAAGGATCATCCCTTTGGTGTTGTATCTAAAAAAAGTCTTCTTGAGATTTTGGGCATACACACCCCCATGTATGGGCATGAATTTCAAGATGCCAGGTTCAAGACTTGAACTGTTGTCAGTCATGTGGGAGTCCAGTGCCTTAACCATCACGCCACCTGCTGGTTCCCAGACCATCTTCTAATATTGAGGCTTAAATGTGATCGTTGAATCAGTTACAGATGTCAAAGGCTGTTCTCTACTTTCCCATTCATTTTTTCCTCCAAATAAATTTAACATTCTGTTACAGTTAAACTCACGTTTGACCGTCTTTAGAGTATCAGAAGACAAAAGTCTTGACCCTGTCTTGTGGAAATGCTCGTGGTTCTCCATTGTTTTCCCCTCACAATGTGTCCTTCTCTATGTGCAGGTTATGTGCTGCGCACACCCCATATGATCTCCCAGTGGAAACGAGAGGAAGTCCTGGGATCAGAGAAGAGAGGGCTTTTCCAGCGCTTCTGTTCTGTGAAGCACCAGGAAGGCAAGAATCCTTGTGGGGGAACCGTCCTCTTTGGGGGAATATTACACTTGGAAACTAACTTTATTTTCTCTGAGGAGGCTGATCTTTCACAGATAGGTCAATTACTAATTTGAATTTTTATCAGTCCTCTCATTTTCCTTGTCCTTGGCAAAGACTGTTCATGCTCTGTGCATATCTTAGTATTTGGTTGTATGTACTTTATCTGACTCTTTTTTATTTCTTCTTCACCCTCTTAATAATAACTTATGTTACTATCATCTCACTTTTTTTTTTTTTTTTTGTTAAGAGAGAATTTTGCTATAGTGCACATGTGCTTGCTAGACAGAGACAGAGAGACAGAAAGTGAGAAATCACCCCCCTGGGGGTATGGCCACACCACAATCCCTTCTCCATTCTCCTCTTGGGATCTTGGGCATGCACACACATGTGCCTGGCATGGGTTCTAAGTCACTGGGTCTGGGACTGGAACCACGCTCGACTACGTGGAAGTTCAGTAACATAGTCATTATGCTATTTGCTGGTCCCAGTCATAATTTTTTTTTTTAAATAAAACTTTATTTATCTTTATTTTTTAAACTTGCTACAGGACATGAGTACTCATCAGAGAGGGAGAGAAAGTGAGAAAGCATGCCATCAGGTCAGAGATGCAAAACACAATTGGCTATGTGGGAATCTAGCGCCTTAACCACCATGCCACCTGCTGGACCCAGTCTTAATTTTATTTTTTTTCATCTGTTCATCTGCCTTCTTCTTCTTCTTTTTATTTTTTTTTAAGAATTATTTTATTTATTTATTTACTTATTTAAATTTTACCAGAGAGGTTCAGAGAGGGAGAAAGTGAGAAAGCAAGCCACCAGGTCCGGGACTCGAACCATGATTAGCCATGTGGGAGTCTGGAGCCCTTAACCACCATGCTACTTGCCAGCCCCAGTCTCAATTTTTATAGAATTATTTTTTAGTTAATTGCTTACTGTTTGCCCTTGTGCTGATTAATACCTAAGTCCTGAAACAACTGTACTGCTAAAAGTTCTTTGCTCATCCATGCCTTCACTTTTTTGTTTCAGGTTTCGAGACTCAACTGAAAACTAATTCATCAGTTGCTCTGCAAGATATTTATGGAGAAAAAATATCCAATGAACAGAAAATAGCTAGACTTAGAAGGGATGGTTCCTGGTCCTCCACTTTACATGAAAACTGGGAATACTGTGGGATTGATAATCAAAACAAAAGCCATGAGAGAGATTCAAGGTGAGAACCATTCATATAAAAGAAGTAGTGTTTTAACATAGAATTTAAGAAACATGTCAAGGGACCAGCAGTTAGCATAATGGCTATGTTGCTGGACTCCCATGTAGTTGACCGCGGTTCGAGTCCTGGACCTGGTGGCTTAAAACTCATGCTGGGTGCATGTGCGTGCGTGCCCAAGATCCCGAAAGGAGAATGGAGGAGAAGGAATTGCAGCATGGCTATCCACCCTGGGGGGTGATTTCTTGCTTTCTGTCTCTCTGTCTCTCTCTGTCTGTCTGGCAAGCGCATGCGCCCTATGGCAAAAACCTCTCAAAAAAACAAAAAACAAAAAACAAAAACATGTTGGGACCAGCAGTTGGTGTAATGGCTGTGTTGCTGGACTCCCACGGAGGTGACTGCAGTTTGAGTCCCGGACCCAGTGGCTTAAACTCACACCGGGCACGTGTTCGTGTATGCCCAAGATCCCGAGAGGAGAATGGAGGAGAAGGGATTACGGTGTGGCCAATCCCCTGGGGGGTGATTTCTCACTTTCTATCTCTCTTTCTTTCTGGTGAGCACACATGTCCTATAGCAAAAACCTCTAAAAAATAAAATGTATATATAAGCCCAAGTCAAACATTGTGATATGACACTTTTTTTTTTTTTTAAGTTTGCTCTAGGGCGCATGCACTTGCTGGAAAGAGATTGGTGGGGAGAGTGAGAAATGAACGAGTGTGGGAAGTGAGAAGTCAACCACTGGGGGAGTGGTCACTCTATAGTCCCTTCTCCATTCTCCTTTCAGATTTTTGGGCATGCACATACACATATCTGGTATGTTTTCTAGCTGCTGGGTCTGAGGCTCAAACTGCATGATCAGCCACATGAGATCCAGCCTTAACCACCATGCAATCTGGCTAGTCCCACAAAAAACTCTTATAAAATGTCCTCCTCCCCATTGAGACTGAGATAGTGAATACTTGATACCCAATTTAGTAAACAATTATTGGAAACATCTCATATGTCAAGAACTCTCTGGTAATATTGACTATAGTAACCCTCAGTGATAACTTTTAGCTTATAATTTGACAGGGCAGAAAACACACACATTGACTGAAAATGGTAAAAATGTATACTAATAATGTCCTTTTTATTTTTAGAAGAAGTCATATGGTAGAGAATGTCTATGAACGTAATGAAAGTCATGATGGACAAATTCCATCGTTCGGTCAAATTCCAGATCATAAAATCCTCCAGAAAACTAAAGAAGTAAGCTACTATGAAAAAAAGTGTGGAAAGGCCTTTGTGGATCATTTCTCTCTTAAGAATCACATCAAGTCTCATAATGGAAGCAAACCCTATCAGTGCAAGGAATGTGGGAAAGCCTTCCACTTTTTTGCTTGTTTTAAGAAGCATGTGAAAACTCCTACTGAAGAGAAACCCTATGAATGTAAGGAATGCACCAAAGCCTTCAGTTGTTCTTCATTCTTTAGGGCACACATGAAGATTCACGCTGTAAAGACAAACTATGAATGTAAGGAATGTGGGAAGAATTTCAGTTGTTCTTCATCCCTCACAGAACACAAAAGAATTCACAGTGGAGATAAGCCTTATGAATGTAAGGAATGTGGGAAGGCCTTTAGCTGTTCCTCCTCTCTCTCCAAACACAAAAGAATTCACAGTGGAGATAAGCCATATGAATGTAAGGAATGTGGGAAGGCCTTTAGTTCCTCCTCTCACCTTATAACACATATAAGAATTCACACCGGAGAGAAGCCTTATGAATGTAAAGAGTGTGGGAAGGCCTTCAGTGAGTCCTCAAAACTCACTGTACACATGAGAACACATACTGGAGAGAAACCCTATAAATGTAAAGAATGTGGAAAAGCCTATAACTGTCCCTCCTCCTTAAGTATCCATATGAGAAAACACACTGGAGAGAAACCCTATGAATGTCTGGAATGTGGAAAAGCCTTCTATCTTCCTACTTCCCTTAACACGCATGTGAAAAACCAGAGTAGAGAGAAACCCTATGAATGTAAGGAATGTGGGAAGGCCTTTAGCTGTCCCTCATCCTTCAGAGCACACGTGAGAGATCACACTGGAAAGATACAGTATGAATGTAAAGAATGTAGAAAGACCTTCAGTCGTTCCTCATCCCTCACCGAACACTTAAGAACTCACAGTGGAGAGAAGCCTTATGAATGTAAGGAATGTGGGAAAGCCTTCATTAGTTCCTCCCACCTTACAGTGCATATAAGAACTCACACTGGAGAGAAACCCTATGAATGTAAGAAATGTGGGAAAGCCTTTATCTATCCCTCTGCCCTTAGGATCCACATGAGAATGCACACTGGGGAAAAACCCTATGAATGTAAAGACTGTGGGAAAGCATTTCGTCATTCTTCGTACCTTACTGTACACGCAAGAATGCACACCGGAGAGAAACCCTTTGAATGCCTGGAATGTGGAAAAGCCTTCAGTTGCCCCTCATCCTTTCGAAGACATGTGAGAAGCCACACTGGCGAGAAACCATATGAGTGTAAGGAATGTGGGAAAGCCTTTGTTTGTCCTGCCTACTTTCGAAGACATCTGAAAACTCATGCTAGAGAAAACACATAAATATTAGGAAAAGGAATATCTGCAAAGCTTCTTCAAATCTTAGGCAACTGATGAATGCTCACATTATGGAGATATTCTATGAATGTAAGAAGGTGGGAAAATTGCTCATCTGTTTGAAGATCTGTGAGAGAAACTCTGTATGTAAACCACATGGTAACACCTTTGTGAACATTGCTTACTGGGTATAAGAAAATTCATACTAGAAATGAAAATCAGTGCCTCATCCTTAAAGTGGACTGCTGGGTCAGTTTTAAGGTGATAAATGAACCTTTTCAGCTTTAGCCACATGTTTATGGTATGAGGTGCTTTTATTTTGGCAAAGACCCAAATAATACTCCCATTATAAAAAGTCTTAGCTCCACAGAAGATCTTAAGTCTATGTTTTCATATATAAGCAGAAGTGTTTATTTTTTAAAATTGGCTTTTGATTAATGATCACTATTCTCAAGTACATAATCATTATGCTTTTTTTTTTCTTTTTTTCTGGAGAGGTTTTTGTTATAGGGCGCGTGCGCTCGCCAGACAGACAGAGACAGACAGAGAGACAGAAAGCAAGAAATTACCCCCCAGGGGGGATGGCTATGCCACAATCCCTTCTCCATTCTCCTCTCAGGATCTTGGGCAAACACGCACACATGCCCAGCATGAGTTTAAGCCACTGGGTCCGGGACTCAAACTGTAGTCCACTACATGGGTGTCCAGCAACATAGCCATTACACCAACTGCTGGTCACAGTCATTATGCTCTTAACATCTGTCTTTTCAAATTGGCAGAGTGCGCGTGTGCTTGCCAGAGAATCACTGCCCAATGGGGTGTAGTCATGCTACAATTCCTTCTCCTTCATTTCTCCATCCTGTTGGGATTTTGGGCATGCACATATATATGTCTGGCCTGTTTTTCAATCCTTCAGGGTTGGTATTTTAACTGTGGTCAGCCATAAGAGATCCAGCTCCTTTAACCACTAGACTATGGGGATGGCTTATTAACATTTCTCCCCCTTTTTTCATGTTAGGATGTGTACAAGGGGAGGAAGGGTGGAGGGAAGTAGACATGTATGCTCCCCTCACTGAGTCCAGTCATACCATGATACCACGATCCCCTTACAGTCCTCCAGCCTATCACATCTTGGGGTCTTGAGTGCTTACCTGGCATGTCTCAGGCTGACCAAGCTGATAATTTTAACTGTGGCAACCATATGGATCCAGCTTCTCTTGAGTAACACATTATCACTGTCCCATAGAGCTGGTCCAACACTGGTTCTGCCTTTTAATTGCCCTTCTTATGCATTTCTTTCTTTCAGTATGTGTTGTATATGTAGGGATGAGATTAATGAATCATAATGTAGACTTTAGTTTTGGTAAGTATTCCAGTTCTACAACAATGATAATTCCACCAGTAGTCCCTAAAACACTGCATGAAAGTCAAGGAGTTACACATACCTAGTCAGTACCTCCTAACTTTATTCACCAGAAGATGTGGTATTGTTTGGGTTTATATTACCTGATAGTGATTCTCAGTACTTTTCTGTATGCTCATAGGCTATGTGGATACCTTTTTTAAATGAGGGTAACTTTTGAAGCATTTCACCCACTTTTGGTTCTTTTTTATTTTTAATTAAAGCATTTCCTTTTAGTTTTTGTCCTTTGTTATATGTATGTGTATCTCTAAATCTAGATACATGCACATACAAAAATATAAACCATATATTATATATACATAAAACATGTATATTATATATACATTAGCAATAACTTTTCCAGGTTTCTGGCCTTTTTCATATTTTTTCTTTTATTCACAAGAGTGTGTGTGAGAGAGGGAGGGAGAGAGATGAGTACCTTCTACAGGATCTGGTCACACTGATTGATACCTCTCCTCCAGCCCCCCAGCCCATCAGATCCTGTGCATGCATGTGTTTCAGGCCAAAACTGGATAGTTCAACTATGGCCACTATGTGGGACCCAGCTTCCCTGTGTAGAGCATTACCACTGCATCACCTTTTTTACTTAAAAAAAAAAAAAATGTTTATAAGCTATAAAGAGAATCTATTGATCTGATTACTAAAAAGTTTTGGATATAACTACCTTCAAGCATGGTTGGGTCTTGGGACTAAAAAGATATTACCGGGATGAATTCTGTCTCTACATCTCAGCTGTGCATTCTACCTTTTTTTCTTCCAGATACACTGTTTCTTCATCTGGGCCTCAGAAGGTCTATGTGACTTTCTTCCCAGAGAGAAGAGTATGATTGTCTTTTTTGAATAGTTCTGGTATTACCATAAGAATTGAATTTGTTTGGCTCCATTGCCTACCATAACAAAAGTGCTGTGATCAGCGGAATGTGATACTCTGATTTGTTTAAGATGGCTCCCATGCTTATTCAGAAACTGAGGTTAGTGTCCACACCAACTGAATCACAGAATCCTAGCAACTGTGATGCACGTGGAGGGGGAAAGAAGCAGCAATGGGCAGGCAGGATCTAAAAATAGAGGTAGTATTATCAGCTAGTACCTTGTGCTTAATATTAACAGTGGGTGGGAACTCAGCCAGGCCTGGGTATTTCTTTTTAAAAATCTTTTAAAATAATTTATTATTATTATTTTTAATTTGTGTGTAAGAGAGAGAGAGAGAGAGAGAGAGAGAGAGAGAGAGAAAGAGAAAAAGAAAGAAAGAAAAAGAAATAAGCCGCCAGGTCTGGGACTCAAATTGGCCGGCCATGTGGAAGTCCAGTGCCTTAACCACCATGCCATCTGCCAGCCCGACTGGGTAGTTCTTAAAAATCCTTTTAGAAAAGTGAGCTGCCATTTATTAACATGTCTTCAGATTGATAGATTGCTTCTCAGTCTTTAAACGAGCATAAAATAACTGGAGCTCTGAATCTTGTTAAGTGTTTTCCTAGACTAATGATGATAATATCCATGTCTTTTTTTGAGGCTATCGTTTAATCTTTTATACTTAGGTCTGTGATCCATTTTTGCATTTTTTTTTTGGCCACGGTGTGAGATAGATTCAAGGTATGAGTGTATAGATAGATCAAAGAGACCATGTTTTACCCTCTGCTTAGGTAGGCAATCTGTCCCTTGGTTCATCTGTCTTTCCTTGCTGAAATACCATATTTTATTTTATTTTGTAATATTTTTTGAAATCTGATAGAGCCTTCCAACTTTTTTTTATTGATTTGTCTAGCCTTCTGTATTCCCCATGTTTCTACATTAATTTTAGAATCTACAATTTTCACAAATAAGTATTTTGGGAGATTGCTTGGAATTGCACTGACTTTCTAATAACCTGAGGAGAGCTGACATTAAACAATATGGAGTCTTTCAACTGATGTACATGGTACAATTGTCCAATACCTAGGTCTTTAACTTTTTTCAACAGTGTTTTATAGTTTTAATTGTAGAGATTTTAAATGCCTTTGTTTAACTTATTAATTTGTATATTTTGCTTTATGGATTTTTTTAGTTTTCAATTTTTTGGTCAGTATGTAGAATTGCAGTATCTTTTTATATACTGATCTTATAACCAGTGACATTTATAAATTCAATAATTTATTCAAATAGTTCACTGATTATGTGGATTTTCTCTCTCTCTATATATATATACACACACACACACAAACACACATATATAAAATTGTCAATACCAATAAGAGAAAGTCTTTAATTTGTAAGTCTTACCCCTTATTTTTCTTGCGTGTTGTTATAGAGTAATAAATAGGACTGATGAACATCTTTGCCTTGTTCCTAAACTTAGGAGAAAGTGTTCAATATTTCACAACTAAGTGTAATGCTAACTCTAAGTATTTCATGGATAACCTTTATCAAATTAAAGGAATTTTTGTGTATCCCCAGATTGTTAAGATTTTTATGTGAGAATATTGGATTTTCTGTCTTTGATTTTTTTATTGCCTATTGTGCATGTATCAGGGTCTTCAAAAATCCTTATCTGTTAATATGATAAATGACCACATCTGTTGGTTTTCACATAGTAAATAATACCTATTTCTGGAATAAACCATACATTAACATGATATATTAGCTTAGTTTTTCTTTCTTAAAAAAAAAAAAAATCACCCCAAAAGGGAGATAACCACACCACAATCCCATCTCCATTCTCCTCTTGGGATTTTGGGCATACATGCACATGTGCTGGTGTGTTTTTAAAGCTAGTGGGTCTCGGACTAGAACAGTGCAGTTGGCCATGTGGGATCCAGCTGCCTTGGCCACCTATTAATTTTTTAATTAAAAATAAATTTTTTTTTGGAGAGGTTTTCGCTACAGGGCACGTGCGCTCGCCAGACAGACAGAGAGAGACATAGAGACAGAAAGCGAGAAATCACCCCCCAGGGGGGATGGTCACGCCACAATCCCTTCTCCTCCATTCTCCTCTTGGGATCTTGGGCACGCACACACA